GCGATCGTAAACACAAACCTGATTGACATACTCCAACTTTTTTCACGAAAGAAAGATTCGATCTTTGAATTTGGCTCACAACTTCATTACCGGTGAAGAAGTAGCATACCTTTTAGACCATTGTCCCCATACCTTGAGAAAGTTAGATTTTTATACGTTTTAAACGTTTTAAATCCTTACTGACGGATTGATCCCCTATTTTCATTATATATTAGTTTTGTAGAAGGTTGCTCTACCTACTAAACAAGAGCCATACCATCACATGCCACGATGGCAAACTCCATTGTCCCTGCCTGACCGTGGTTACGCTCGCTTTTGGTCCAAACTGGGATTATCAAAAGACCTTTATTCGCTTATTGCAAGCGACTCATTATAAACCTTTCCTAATGTCTTTAGAGGAGAATCGCTCTCTCTTTTTCCAAGAAACGTTCAGGAAAAACGATGCACTTGCCAAAATTGTGTAAAAATGTCATCGATGATTGCCCTTCAGTCGGCTGGGATAAACCATACAAACCTGACCACCTATTATGTTAGATGCAAAAAATTGTAGGAAGAAAGAAAGATAAATTAAAAACAATGTTTCACTCAAACATGGTTGTTGTTTTTGATTTTTTTAATTTTAGGAAAGTCATCCCCACTGCTCCCACTGTTATCAGCGTGATTAGTATAGACATGATAGAATAGAACGCGTGACCAAGAACAGGACGTGTCATATTGGTTACAGTGAAAACTCAAGTTGCTGGTGTCACCCCCTTCCCACTGCCAATGTCCGAACCCTTGACAGGGTCGACCTGATTGATGTTTATTTTGCAACTTTTGGTGACCATGTGACGGAGAAATATGTCATAACCTAAAAATGGATGGCTGTCCAGATTCCTTGAAACAAAAAGAGATTCTATACTAGAGGTTGGAAAGCAGAAGCAATCTTTTTGATTCTGTACTTGGCATCCCTTAAAGACAACTTTGACAAGGTCTACTTTTTACCCCATCACCAAGAGAACAACAAGAAGTTCAAATGGTGGAACCATTCCGAGGATCACGAGCTCAAACTACCTGCGTGAAGCACCCACCTGGCCCGATGTGGAATATTTAATTTATTTGATTTTTTTTCACATTTGTACACGCTTGGGAAGAGGTACATGGATTTGAAGGCAACGTGGTGGGGAACTTGACGGAAAGGGAACAAGAACTCTACCACGAACGACCGGCCTACATTAGCATGAKAAATTATGTTGAATCCAATGGGTACAAAGCCATGTTACTGAATTGCACGTTCAGATATATAGTGCAAGCCATGAAGAAAACTTTAAAAGTACAAGATATGAATCGTTTGGCCGTGACCATGTAAGATTGGAAGTTGGGCTGTATTGGAAGGCCAAAATTACGCTTCTACTACGACACGCTAGACACCGTGAGGATAGCGCGAGACCCGATTGATATCAACGTTTTGGACCAACCAGCACCTCCCTTTATCATCTATCCAAGATTCTATGTAGACCCAACCTGGGTGGATCCACACGCTGAAACGGAATCGGAACCCGAAGATTGAGAAGAAACCTCTTCCCTTGTTGCCTACAAAAACGTAGTTTTAGAGAGTTAGTTTATAGATTTAAAACATGTAACAAGAAGGCAGGAACAAACCACAATTCTGAACCGCGTCGTCGTTTGCTATGATAAAGTCAATACCTGGTTGAGAAAAATACTGAACATTTTCATGGGTCTGATCCATCCACTAGTGGAATGCGATATTTGTTATCATATTTTCCCGTGGATGCCCACACCTTGAAAGCCAAGTTCCTTCGTTGTCGAGACTGTGATGCAGTTCATCAAGTGTCGCTAAAAAATTATGAGCCTAAAACGAATAGATTACCGTAACGAAAATGTCGTAAATCAAGAAGTTTGACTTTTGCAAAATCACATGCAGTTGAAACTTTGTCAAAATAATGTTGGTTAAAAACAAAAACAAAAAAGAATTATCTCAGTGCCTTACGCGAATCAAAACTAATGAAATAATAATAGGACAGCAGGTGTCCACTTTCGAAAACAAAAGACTAATTTATCTTGTACTGAGATCGACGAGATGTGATTGGATAGAATAAAAAATTAACATGCATGAAGGGTACCAGGTCCACTTATATTGATGTTAATCAAAAGACAGCGCGTCACTTCCGGTTCAGCGTCATTTTGAATACATAAGCGCCATTTCCGATAAGGCACCATATTGAATAATTTGAAACTAGACGATCATGGATCGCTTACGTGGGCTTCCTGTGACAATGGTGTTTCATTTTAACAAGATAGTCTTTATTTGTAATAAGTCAAGACAGGATTAAGTTAATATGTTATCAATTTATTACACCATAATTTTTTACCGAACTGAACTCTAAGTAAATTCTTTGGATACCATGTCTTTTTTCTCAGTTTTCCAAAATAACTAGCTCGACTTTACGCTCAAGAGCGTCTATATTATTCAAAATATCTGATAGGTCATATAGGTCACATAAACAATAGAAACGGTACAGTCTTGGCAGTATAACTTTGAATAATATTTTGATCATTTGAATCATGTATCTGTATCTTGCGTTTCTGTTCTTTTTTATTTGGTGTTTTTCATTAATTTGTAAATCTGGTGTTCTGTGCCATCATAAAGGTGTACCTTAGCCTTCTAATGACAGTTCATATTTTTGGATTTGTCTAAGTTTTTCAAGTTAAACTATCATCAAAACAAACAATAGAGAATTAAAATGCTTCATACACAATACAGATTTTGTATAGGTGGATCTTTGTTTACATGATTTTCCTCATTAGCATAAGCTTTTTTTGCTTTTAAACAAGCTAAATCCAAATCTATACTGAATATTTATAGATATTAGCTCAATTAGCACTCCACGAAAATTTGAGCTTGATATATTTAATAGATTTCGCATAATATGGCTTTAAAAACTACGAATTTTACAAAGAATGTATGGGCTCATTAGCGCTTTGCCACACAGACTTTGCCACACAGAAAAAAGCCACGAAATAAGAAAACTTAAATCAAAACTTAGAAAACCTCGTAAATCTACAGATTTCACAACACTTTGAGCTTTTTGCATGCATTTTAAACACGTATATCAGTTTTGAGAACAATGGAAAATCGGGCTGTGTGGCAAAACGCTAATGAGCCCATACATTCTTTGTAAAATTCGTAGTTTTGAAAACCATATTACTCCAAATCTATTCCATGGATTTAGCTCAAATTATCAATAACAGCTAATCTTACAGAGTTCTTTCAATATTCAGTGTGTATGTGGTGTTAGCCGAAAAAAAAAATAAAATGTAAACAATGACGTCAGCGAAGATCCACCTATACAGAGTTCAGAAAAGCTCACAAGTGCAGTTTTCCGAACTTCAAACACATCGTTAGTTTAGAAAATGGCATCAATATTTTTCAGATGAGGTTTRATATGCTTTATTCCATCGAAWRATTGTTTTCTGTCAAAGTATGAACCTTAAATATCCATGTGATTTCTTATTTTTGAAGATTTTGTGTTTGACATCGAACACTTGTGTGACGAAGAAGAACTGCAGCTCTTCGAGTCGGCGGTAGAAAACGCCCAGTCATTTCTGCAAGAATCGTTCGCTAATCTTGAATTATATACCTCATTCCATGTCGTTTGGATGGTAATCAGTTGATTTAGCAAGATTTTCAGCTCTTTAGAGCGTTTTAGCTACATTTTAGAACCATTTGAAACGAGACAACTTTTTGCTGCCGTCTGTCAGCCATTTTGTTTTCATTCTGAGACTGCAGCCCATCTGCAACGCAGGCGCTACCAAAATTCGCTGATTGGTTTATTTTGACATCTCCATGGAAACTGAGACTGTAACGCATGCGCAATCGATGCGCTACCAATTTGAAGCGTAATATTCACCACCACGACGAAAAAACCAGTTGCATTTTTAGACGTGGTAGACATGGTAAAAAATGATGAAAACCAATTTCTCTAACAATTTCTCTAATTTATTTCTAATCATTCCTCCCTCACCCTACCCCCTCATATTACATATCATCACTCACACAGACAAATTATCACTTACTCAAAAAAATCGAGCTCGTCCCGCGTACGTTAAGTGAATTTCGCTTTTTTACCATTTTTATCCGTTTTATTATCTCTTCTATTTTATTACTATTATTTTCTTTCTTTTTTCGTCTGTTTATTTGTCTATTTCTTAGGTATACCAATTTTTTTGTATTTCTATCTCTTATTTAAATATTCTTATCCTTGCTAACAATTTTTCTAACAATTTCTAATTTATTTCTTATCATTCCTCCCTCAACCACCCCCCTCATATTACATATCATCACGTACACAGACAAATTATCACTCACTCAGAAACATTTTTGTGTGGCTTACTATTGGGCTGACTCCGATCCTTATGGGGCTGAATTGAGTGTATAATAGGACCAAATTGACTTGGTGGAGTCAAATTGACTCTACGGGGTCGAATTGTTTATATGGAGCAGAATTGTCGGCATTGGGCTGAATTGTCATGGACCTATTTTGTTATGGGGCTTAACTCTCTTTATGGGGCTGAATTGAGTGTATATAAAAGGACCAAATTGACTTAGTGGAGTCAAATTGACTCTTAGGGGTCGAATTGTTCATATGGAGCTGAATTGTCTTATGAAACTTGGGGTCAAAACGACTCTCCATGGAGTCACATCGGAAAATCATAGGGCTGTGTTGGTTTTCTATAGAGCTGAAACAGCTATATATGGTGCTCATTTAGCTCTTCTAGCCCCAAAATGACCCCGTTAGGGGCTGATTTGGCTTTTTACATTTGGGGCTGTTTTGGTTTTTGGGGCCAAAACAGCTCTTTTCGATTTACAATGCAGTCTTGGAATCCGATAGACTTGACGTTTCTTAATGTAACACTGTTATTGAATAATAATAGATAATTTTAAAACCAATTGCCAGTTGAAGCGATATAAAATAACGCTCATCTGCAATATTCCACAGGAACCTTTAAAACATATCCTGAAAGGTCGTTGTTACTTACCATGGACAAGGCCTACGCTAGACTGAACCGCCTCACTTTTTGCCTTTGGATGAAAGTATCAGATCAAAACCAAAAACACACGAAACGGATGATAAAAATTGAAGATATAGCAATTGGTTTGAAAAATCTCAAATCGATAGTCTATTGGATTGGAAATAAAATGTGGTAAATATTCGTTCTCTTAATTAGACGAGTGAAGACAAATTTTTGCGGATTAACATGCAAATACAACTTTGTTCCTTTATCTCAATGTATCAGCTTTAAGTTGAAGTCGGACAATAAAGCAATAAATAGCTAGTAATTATATCAATACACTGGTTAACCTCTAGATCGCTTAGTAGGCATTACAAAAATATGTAAACACATTACTCATTGATTCATATCTACTGTATACATTTTATATGAAAATTAGCCCGAAATTGTTTATCACTTTATCGTTATATATCTCCTTATGACTTAGGGATACAAAAGTTTCTATCAAACTTAATAATTGGCACCACATCTGCTTAACATGGGAAAACTCTGAGGGCCATACTGCACTATACCTAGACGGAACTTTACGCGCACTAGGGAACATGAAGAAAAGTCACGTGATTAAATGGCGAGGTTGGGAAATTGAACTCATATCTTTTGCTGGTGAGGTGTCGAGCATGAACGTGTGGAACAGAACACTGCAGAAGTTTGAGCTACTTCATATGGCAACAAAATGCAAACGAATTTTATCCGGGATTGTCCTGTCGTGGAATGACATCTTATCAGAATATAAGAAATATCCAAGCTATTGGTTCCGTTGGCCCCCTCAAGAATCAATCATCCAATCAATAGCATGCCCGTCGCCCTCGGTTAATTTTACAGGTGTTTATTTATTTATAAAAAATGAAGATACACCTACTTGCAGAAACGTTGTCATAGAAAATAGAACATTCGTATTTAGTTAAAAGGAACAAATTAAAACAAAACAAAAGAAAGCGTTCAGCCTCAGTGATCTTCTTTTGTCTTTTTAATTTATTCCTTTTTTACTAAATACAAAAGTCCTATTTTTTATGACAACGTTTTCGCAAGTAGGTGTATACATGCAAAATATTTGTAATAACAGTTACCTGTTATTCCATAGGAAACTTCGGTATCAAATTTACTCGTGATCAACCAACGATCATATCATTTTTTTTTTCGCCAAAGCTTTTAGAAAGTATGCTCGTATATTTTATCAAATCACAATCAATCTTTATTCTAACAGTAGTGTACAAAATCTTGTATGGCAAAACCAGCCAATTAGAAACATTCAAGCACATTCTGAACAAAAACTAAGTTCTCAGTTTTAATGATATCAAATAACGTTTATTTGTTATATTCCACAGAAATAATTAACAAGATAAACTGGTATGGTTCCACATTCTTGATAACTCCGGAGAAAAATAAACCACCTGCAGCTTATATGACCAGCTTCACGTTGTGCCTTTGGATAAGTGCATCGGATGAAATTCCACGGTTAAGTCAGATCATAATCATAGAATATGTCTCAGATCATGCAGATAAAATAGCAATTGGTTTGAAAAATCGCAAATCGATACTCTATTGGATTGGAGATGAACGGTGGTAAATATTCTTTCAATTACGTATTCCGTACGACCTGTAGCTACGTTTCGCTCGGTTAGCACTGAAACAGAAGATATTCATTCTGAAGAACGGAATTTTTCATGAATATTGATTCTCTTAGGAGGGTTGTCCAATACTCTCGATCTGTAACAGATGGAGACAGTTTGAGCTGCATCTGTATCAATCTGTCAAGTAATTAATATGCATCGAATATGCATATTATTATGATAATACTAATTGATATGCAGAATAATTTGTACAATGTAAAAAGTCTTAGATACATTCGATTTCCAATGGCACATTTTTATGTTTACAAATTGTTTGACTCACATGACTCCAAAGTGCTTACAGTCGGACTCATTTCATCCAACTGTCACGGATGGTAACAGATTGAGGTAGGGGAAACATTTGTCTTGAAAACTTAATTGATTTGGTATCCCTGTGTTGTTTGAATCATATAAATACTAATGAGAAGGGCAACCATCACCAACTGACAGCCATCAGTGACAGTTAGAAACAGTTGGAGAAATGGTATCCCTGTGTTGTTTGATTCATAAAAATACTAATGAGAAGGGCACCCATTTCTAACTGAATGATACAGAATGATACATCTGAAGTAAAACAGCAAGACTAGGGTGATTGTATTTTAAGAACGAGGCAACATACAATCATTTGTATGGAGATATAACGTCGTGTTTTCAAATATAAGCAAGTTTTGCTCCGCGAAACTCTAACAACAGTTGGCGTTTGCTGTCGTAAACAATCATGAAAAAAGTACATCCTGTCCCTGGAAATCAGAATGATATATTTGGTTAAAAAACAAGACTAGGGTCAAGAACGAGGCAATAGAACAATATTTGCAGTATTTGTAGGATATATAATGCCGGATTTGAAAAACAAAAGTTTTTTCCTAAACGAAACTGTATTACCTCTGGAACCAGTATGATATATTTCATTCAGTTATAACAAGCCGCCAATGGAGACACAACTCGAAGATTGTTAGACAAGTATACCAGAAGTATACCGTGGACATAAATCTGTATGAAGCCTCAGACTTTGTTCAGATATGGTCTAATCTCAACAAAAAATCTATAAAATGAAAATATTGAACTTGAAATTTTGAATTTAATAATTTATATGCATCCGAACACCTTAACGATATCGACAATGAATTATCATCACCATCACAATTTCATAGTTTGAAGTGATGATACTTTCACTTTGAATGCTGACCGTTAATATTTATATTTTGAGTTCTTACTTGTTGTAGTGTCGTCCGTGCATCGATTTTTTACGAAGGATAAAGTTTATATGAATCGATGAGCATTAAATACTGATCGACAAAGGATCGGAATAATCCTTGAAATCATCGTAATAGAATGCTGTATCTATGAGCCAATATCTCCTAAAACGACTTCTGAAATCAACAGATTAATTGGAAGATTATACTAGAACGTCCAGACCTCAAATCACATTTTGTGTGTTTAAAAAGCCATTTCTGTATCGAAACACCCGGCCGTCTTGGTTACGGACTTCTAAATGCCCGTATGTTTATAGAAAAAATAAGTGACCTATTAACTAGTCCACCTCAMCTCACACACCATCATCTATCTCCCTCCTATAACTCTTCGATTGCTTCGCAATCTTCGAGTTAAAAAGCAAGACTGGGGTCATTGTATTTTAAGAACGAGGCAACACACAATTATTGGTAGGTAGATAGTAATGTCGTGTAGTTACTTTTTAAACTAACTGAATACATCTGTCACTAACTGCTCCTGAAGTAGAACCCTGATAATTCGTCTTACTGTAGTACGGATCTGTCTTTCCCATATTCCACCCATATGCGAAGCCATAGGGGGGATTAAACCTCCAAGTGATACCTTTCTGACAAAGGAAGTTATTGATCCTTTCTTGATTTCAGGCTTGAATAGCCTCCCTCAATTAACTCTCGTTCACCTCCAACCAAATTAGTACCATTATCACTTCGAATAATCTCTGGATGGCCTCTGCGGCTCACAAATCTTCTTAGGGCATCTATGAATGAGCTGGTATCCAGGCTATCTCGATGTGAATTGCTCTTAGTGGTTAAACATGTGAATATGCATCCATATCTTTTCACTTGGCTTCGACCTTGACGCACAAAGAGGGGTCCAAAATAATCTATCCCAACATAGGTAAATGGAGGCTTGTCTGGTGTTAGTCGTTCTTCAGGTAGATCAGCCATTATTTGCTCACCTCTTTTAGCATTCCTTTTCTTGCAAATCACACAGTCTCTAATGACCTTACGTACTGTGGACTTCTCATTGATGATTCAGTACTTTTCCCTCAACACGGAACATACGAAGTTTTGACCTGAGTGACCTATGTTCTCGTGCTTGTCTTGTACAATTAACCGTGTCAAATGATCGCTTCTGGGAAGAATAATTACTGAAATCCAAATAGTTGGATTCCTGATTCCAGGATAGGGATTCCGGATTCCAAAGCTGCCTATTTTTACTGGATTCCGGATTCCGGATTCTCTTACAAGGGGCGATGGATTGGTTTAATTGAGATTTCCACGTTTCGAAATAAAATGGTTTCATTTTGTCGTGGCAATCTTGTATGGTACATTTTGGAATGGCTTTGCATAGTATTTTGGTATTTTTTCCATATTCGTTAAGAAGATGGGATAGATTTGAGAAATAGCATTGTTTTTGCTGTTCGTGCAGGGATTTGGAAATCAAAAAGGATTGTTTAGCTATCGAGTCGTCTGGTAAATTCAGGAGATGATTATAGTACTATGATTATAGCAATACTTAGACATAGTTTTGAATCTGGCCATGAAACTGTTAAGCTAGAAAACGCTACTATTTTAGCGTCAAAATTTAGAACATATAAACATAGGAGAATCGCCGAAGCGCTTTATATAAAAGAACAAAAACCATCTTTGAATGAACAGGGACAGTCAATTCCCTTAAGTCTTTTGAACTAATAATTATTCATGTAAGTTCAGTTTGCAGTCGATGGCCTTTGGATAAAAACCGAAATATACATGTAGTAAAAAATGATAAATCTTCTCGTAATCCTTTTCGTATTCAAACTATATGCCCAAAAGAATATATTTAATTATAGTAGTTCATTGAAAGTTTGTCAATGAAAATTTTTAAAGAAAGTCGTCCTAGTTCTGCTCTACACGTTATATTGGTATCTTTATTGTTCACGCCTAATAATATTTACAGAAACGTAAATGAACTTTTTCTGTTGGGCTTTTATCCCATTTAGAGAAATTTCCTTTTTGGTATATCCCCCAAACTTCGCTGCCATATGTGAGTATGGGAGATATAAAAGAGTCAAAACGTTTATTTGCCTAATGTGGTTTTTATTTTTTCATGTCGATTAATTTAGTTACCTTAAAGAACGCATGAAGAGCTTTTTCTCGTGTTTGAGTTAAATGATCACAATAATTTCCAGTTGATTTTAATTTCACTCCTAGATAAGTAAACTGTTTTACTATTTCAAGGGGTTTTTCATCTAATAAATATTTATGTTGTTGTGCTACTTTCGACTCTTTTTTGCAGAAAATCACTACTTTTTAGATAGATAGTACAATAGTACAATATACTTTATTAACATGATGTAATAAATCACACGGAGTCCTTCGGTCCAGACAAACTACAAGCAATTTATTAGTAATGTGCTAAAGCTATTTATTCTTACAGATTAACCTTTGGGAATTGAATTGAAGTAAATATTCGATCATAATATCATGAATATACATCAACATACATAACAATATCTCTCCCTTTAAGTTTTTGTAATAGTTGATCAAGTGTCCTTCAATTTAAAGTTATCAGAAATATAAGTCAGTGTCCAATCATGAGTCTGTCTGGCTTTTTCCTGTCCCTACGTGGGTATCTCGGCTCTTGAACTGTCAGTCCTTTTAGCTCCGGTACAGTATCCTGACTTGTGTTTTGTTGTTTTGTCGTATCTTCCTGACTTGTGCATTGTTGTTTTGTCGTATCTTCCTCGACCTCCTTCCTTTCAGATGGTGCGGGTATGACAGGTTTGTCATTTGGTTCTTTTCCTTGAACGGGTGCTTGTGTTGGAATCGTGTCTTCTGTTGTAGTAATCTCTGTTGGTTGGATTTCATTCTTTCTATC